CCCGGGCCCGGCGCCGTGCCTGCGGGTCCCCTCCCCCTGCGGCGTGCTCCGCTTCCCCCCGCGCGGGGAGCGGGCCGCGGGGGCTGCGGCACCGGGGATGCGCTCTTCCCGTTACAAAACGCTGCGCGCAGCCTCTCCCCGGGCCTGCAGCGCACCGGCCCCTCGGTGAGGCGGCGAACCAGGCCGGGCCGCTCGGAGAGAGCGATCAGTGCACCGGGTGGCGGGGAACGTGTGACCGCAGGGAGGAACAGAGGGGACACGGGCCCGGGACTGCACCCGCGCGGCCTCCCTGCCCCTCACCCCGCCCCTCCGCGGCTCGCCCGGGCCTCAGGCTGCCCCTTCCCCAGGCACGGCCTGCGGCGAGGCCTGCGGCAGGGCGGGCGGGAGGGCCTGCAGCGCCGGGGGCCGGGCCCGGGCAGGGAGGGAGGGAGCAGGGAAGGAGGGAGGGAGGGAGGGAGGCAGCGCTGGCGCCGCGGGTGGGAGGAGAGGCGGGAGCGGGGCCTCCGCGCCCCGCCAAGGACTCACCTGACAGGCCTGGACATTTTCCCCGGCGGTTCGGGCCCGGCGCGGGCAGCGTCGCCCGGCGCGGAGGGGAAGGAGGATCGGAACGGAACGGTCGCTCGGTGCGGGCTCGGCGTCGCCCGTCCCCTCCCCGGAGCGAGCGGGAGCCCTGGGCCCAGCGCCTCGGGCCGCGCCTCCGGAGCCGCCTCTTCCCCCCCTCAGGCGCTGCCGCCGCCGGTCCGCGCCCCGCCGCCGCAGACACCCGCTCCTCTGCGAGGGCCGCGCGGCCGCCCCGGGCCCGGTCGCCGCCGCTCCGCCGCCGCCGCGGTGGCCGCCGCTCAGCCGATCCCCCCCGCAAAATGGTCGCGTTCCGCCGCCGAGAGGATGCGAGCGGGGGGGGAGCGACGCAGCCTAACCCGCTGGCACCGCCCCCTCCCGCGCTCATTGGGTACGGCGGGCGGAGCGCCGCTTCCCATTGGCTAGTTCGAACCATCACGGCGGGGAGGGCCTGCCCCCTGCCCCGCGGGGAGAGGAGGGGGGCGCGGACGCCCCACACGCTCGAGCCGCTGCGCGCGGCAGATTCGCCACGGGGCCCCGGTGCTGCCGCCCCGCTCCGGGCAGACCCGGCCTGGTTGTGCCCGCCCCGCTCCGCCTTGTCCCCGGGGCGCCGGCGGGGCCGCAGCCGCAGCTTCGCCGCGCGGGGCCTGGCGCGGTTTTGGAGGGAAACCGCGGGGAAGCGGGCGCCGGGGCCCGGCTGCCTGAGGCCGGGCCTGCCCCGGGGGGCCGCCGTGCCTAGCGCGGGTTAGGCAGGGCGGTTAGTGCCGAGGGGCGGCCCTTTGTCATGCAGGAGGGCCGCCATTGAGGGACGCGCTCCCGGAGCGCCGCCGCGGGGCATACAGGAACGGGGGAAGCAGGGAGCTGAGAGGAACGGGGTCACCGAGCGGGGCCCGGTGAATCCATGGAAAGGTTTGGGTGGAAGGGGCCCCAAAGCTCCTCCAGCTCCAACCCCAACCCCTTCCACTGGAGCAGCTTGCTCCAAGCCCTGCGTCCAGCCCAGCCTTGAGCACTGCCAGGGATGGGGCAGCCACAGCTTCTCTGGGCACCCTGTGCCAGCGCCTCAGCACCCTCACAGGGAAGAGCTTCTGCCTAAGAGCTCAGCTCAGTCTCCCCTCTGGCAGGTTAAAGCCATTCCCCTTGGCCTGTCCCTGCAGGCCCCTATCAAGTCAAGTCGTGTGGTGGAATCTCCAATAAATCTACAGATTTCTTTATTTTATAGCACATCACTTCCCTGTTTCGCGGATCCGCTGGGCAATCCTTTTCTTCTGAGGAAACACAGACCATCGGCTTCACCAGGCGGTGACTTCATTCCCAGCACCAATTTCATCACTTTTCCCCACAGACACAAAGACCATGATGACTTCTCCCAGGTCCAGCGAAGGTTTCGTGTTCTTTAAATTCCCTGAACCCCCAAATTACTCCTTTTGTTTAGAACAGGAGCTGCACTGGCCGTGGAAAACTAGAACTTATTCCACAGTCCATGAAAATGGCAGCTTCTGCCATTGCAAGTTAGCTTTGCTTTGCCTTTAGAGAGGCTCACTCATCTGCTTCATTAAAAACTACCTAAACCCATGTTTTTAAGACACCAGATTACCTGACAGTACAACTATGGCCAGCTTTTTACCTCATTATAGGAGTAACTGGGGTTCATTTAATGCCCTGCTTGAGCTTAACTTGCCTCCATTGGAATTGCTGCCATTTTCCTGTTCACTTCAGATGCACTCTGTCCTTGGTGCAGTCAATGTTAGGGACAAAGCGACCAGGAAAGAAAGGGGAGCACTCAAAGCAACTGCCTGCAGAGCCAGCCCCAAACCACGCTGAGCCCTAAGCAAGGTGCATTACCAACAACCACATCAAGGACTCTTCTTCCTCCTCCTCGGCGCGGGCTCCATTGGATTAAAAGCCACGAGGCCCGAGTCAGGGATGAGCTCTGCAAGCTGACGTCCTGCCTGCAGGTCAGTAAGAACGGGGGACTGGAGAAAGGGATTTCAGTGGCAAGGATCTGCTTTGCTTTGCTGGCAACACGGAGCCATTCACGCGTTGTGTTTTGTACATACCCTGGTTCTAGGCTGAACTTGTGAACCCAGTTGTTTGGACTGCGGAGACAGGAAAGCACCACCACCACCACCGTAAGCAACATCAAGCTTTTATTTCAGCCCCCTGCAATGCTGCATCAGTGACTGAGATGGAGAAAACCTCTTTATAATCAACATGGTAATATGCAACGTTACAGTAATCAGAACCCTGTCTCTACAATACTTCTGTGGAACAGCAAGTGGTTTAACCAAACAAAACAAGGCGAAGTTTTACTATTATTGGCTTATTTCTGAACTGCAGTCTGCCCTCACGCTTTCCCATTCAATTACAGTAAAAATTCCCAGCTCTGTGGCCCCCCAGGGTGCTGTCATCAATGTATAAAATACACCCTTACACTTCATGTGGTTTGGAGTCCCACGACCACAAATGAAAGTTACAGGCATGAGAAACACCACGTGGAAGAGAAGGAAATAGGTGCAGTTGGCTCAGAGTCACCCAGCGAGTATGAAGTCAAAGCAGGCACAGCAGAAGGGGAGCCCGAGTGCACTTCCATTCCTGCTGCAGTGAGCACATTGATCAGAATCGAGCTGAGGCTTTTCTGCTTCATATTTGAAAGCATCAAGTTTTTCTCCATCTGCACGAGCGAGGCTCCCCTTGGGTTAAAATCCTGCTAGAAATGGCTTTGCTCCAAAGTGGTTTTTCCCTTTGAGGTGTTTGAAAAGCCAGAATTATCTCCACTAGGACAAGCTGGGCACAACCCATCTCAGTGTTCTCCCCACACGGCCTGCCCCAGCAAGGAGCGCTTCTGAACCCCTCTGTTTCACAGCACTGAGTCAAAGCGGGGTTGGGTTGGGTTGCCTTTTTAAGCACCTTATGAGCTCTGAGAACACACACGTGCACAGTCAGATCCTTTTCCTGTCTGGTTGGGTTATGCCCATCTCAAGCAACGGCTCTTTCCGTTGTGCACGCTTGTTCTCTGACACTTGGCTGCTGTGTCTGTTGAGATGTGAACAAGCAGCAACCAGTGTGGGAGGAAAACCAAGGCCAAGGCACACACTGGTACCCACCGGCCTGAGCAGAAATCATGTATCATAGAGGAAAACCTTCAAAGAGCTTTCTTTGGCTTTCTGCTTGCTTTTGAGAGGCACTTAGAAAGAAGAAATCCAGGTGAGAAGGTCCAGACCCCAAAGAGGCGCTGGCACATCCCACACCAACATGCCAAAGGTATAAAGGCACTTTCCTACAGGACACAGGGCTGAGCAGCTGGATCATGGAGACAGGAATTAGGAACCTTCAGTGCCAAGCTGACCTCAGGGACTGGGTCCTGGGCAGAGATTCCCACTGTGGGCCTCAGTTTCCCCACTCTAAGGGCAGCTCTAACACTTGGTCTTTTTGCTGAAACACTTTAGAGGTGTATAGAGAGAAAGCAATAAATAAAACATGAAGCTTAAATGGTTTCATGAGAAATCCTTTAAAAAAACAGACCCCTCTCCCCATGTTCCATCAAGAACTAGAAATATAGCATTAAAAAAAACAACTTTTTTCAACACAATATTTAGGAAGTAAAATTCAAAGAGTTCCATTTGGTCACTAACCACTTCTACACGTTTCACATGTTTCTACAACAGCACAGGCAAGGGTATGTTCAAGTGCCTATAACCCCAAATTTGGCACCATTTGCATGACAGAACCCTAGCGCTGACATGAACACGGTGGAACACAGCAGCAGTTCTCAGTTTCTCAGCCCTTACTCTTTCCTAATCAATCCTTTTCAACTCCAGAGTGTGAAACCCCACATTTCAGTGTGCTCAGTGAAGGTAACCAACCTTCTTACCACCTTCTTACCACCTTCTCCCTCCACAGATGATAGAAAGCAAAGAGAGACAGGAGGAAGACTTTGCCAGAGAAACACAGCTCTCCCTTAGCAGGGATCAGGACAAGCCAATTTAACATGGTAACTATCTAGTGAGCTTTTACCCACTTATTCTTGTTGTTGGCAAGAACCACTCTCACCAGTGAGTACCTGGGGATGTGCTCTCCATTTCTTTCCTGTCCTGCAAAGTCTTCTCCTTTGCTCCCCCCTTGCACCACTAAACCCAGCGGGAGGGCTTTCAGGGAGCTCCCTGTCCCACATCAGCCCTGCCACCAAAGTCACTCCTGGCTACAGAACAGCTGTGGGGAAGCAATTCCTCAGCAGTTGCAAAGCTATTTGAGATGGCAGGCTACAGGGAAAGGGTTGTTGTTGTCTCATACAAAGGAGTATCATTCCACTATCCATGCCCTAATAAAGTGGCAGCAGAGTGATTGTGCTAGACAGAGGCTGAGTGAGAAAGGACAGACAGAGGCAACTGGGTGATTCCTGATGAAAGCCTGAGGTCTCTGCTGTAAAGCACCAGAGTTGGGATGTACTACCCAGTTTCTCAAATCACACCAGTGATTCCACGGGTCTGGCTGCACAGCACACCAGCTCATCCACATCTGGCTTCCCATCCTAAGGGCACTTACTGGCAATGAAGAGCTGTGTTGGTCCCTCCAGGACATGTAAGCAGAGGTCTGCACTTCCAAAGCACAAAGTAAAGAGTTTGCTGCACTCCCACACTGGGAATCCAGAGGCATAGAGCGTGTGCATGGAATGAAGGTCACAACACTTGGGACTGGTGCCCTTGGGTATGGTGGGTGCAGGCAGTGGGGAATAAAAGGTGCAACGGCATTAAAAATATACCTTTGCCCTCCTTCGCCCTGCTCGAGGCCAGCACGTGGCAGGGGAAGAAGTGCTCCAAATCAGTTAAAATCAATCCAAGGCACATGCTTGAACACGGACCGTGCTCCTTTACGAGCAGCAGAGCTCCCAGCTGCTACTACACAAGAGCAAGGGGAATCGTCTCCCTCCTCCCTTCTTCCCTTGCTCCAAGTCATTGCAGCGATGCTCTGCTGAGGAGGAGTTTGCACTGAACACAAGGCAGCTCGTGAGCATGGAACAGAAATACCCCCAAAACCACTGACATCCAGGTTAGGAAAATACGATGGTGACAACAAGAGGAGGAGGTTGCTGCTAGAACCAAGCAGATGGCCCCGTCAGTGCTCTAACAGCAAGCCCAGCCTGGCGGGGTTGGCTCTTTTATGTTAATATAATCCCCGCTGCCAGCAGCGGAGGAGCTTCCATCACCAGCGGATGAGGACATCATCTTTTCAATGAGGACTCTAGAAGGCAAACACACGTGAGTTTGGTTTGGGTTGGTTTAACAGGAGGCACGGGGCCAGCACTACAGCAAAAATCAACAGCAATCCATTCCGACAGGACACAGAACTCCAGACCTTCACTAAACAAGCAGGTTAAGGAACCCGAGAGCACTGACAACAGCGCTACTGCCATTACCTGCCAGCATCAAAGACCATGTGATGAGCAGGTAACACAGCAACCACCTCACCTTGGGTCCAGGTTAGGACTGGGACACAGCAAGAGGCTCCCTATGTACTAACTGCCCACCCTCAAGGTGCAAAACCTCAGTCTAACACCTTTCAGACAAGGCCAGATCCTCCCCTGAAGGACTGGTACATCACCAAAGAGTTTCTAACACCTTTGCACAACAACTCCCATCCTCCTGGTAGAGGCCAGCATATGAAGAAACATCCCTGGTATTGTTCAAATGATTTTCTGTCACCAAAAGCACATCAGAGCTTAACCAAGGAGAAAGCAAGCCTCTGACCCTTCAGAATTCAGGTTCCCTTGGGAGATTTACTTGTGTTTTATTGCTGCTGTTTGTTACCTGCTGACAGCATCTCCCTCACCTCAAAGGCAGCCGTGTCTGAGAGAGGGAATCAGCTCTTTGGTGGATCGCCAGCCACTGTGCCTACCTCATGGACTCATTGATGTTCTTGTTCTCCTTCACAGACGTCTCCACCCAGCCAGAAAAACCATTTTCCTTGCTGAACCGATCCACTTCTTCTCTTGTCACTGCCCATGGGGAGAGGTCGCACTGGAAAACAAGAACCATTTGAAGGTCAGCTTTTTGGCTCTTCAGCTGGGAGGGGAGCTGTGCCCCTCAGCAAACACTGCCCGTGTGCAGGCAGGCAGCAGGCTCAGCCCATCACAGCTCCCAGATCACAACCGATAGAGAGCTCTTAGGGCAAGGTTCTTGATGGGATGTTGCAAGCACCCATCTATTTATCTCCTCAGAGATGCTGACACGCCTCAGTCAAGCACGCACGGAATGGAGGTATGGGGAATCGCCGTCACTCATCCAAAATCTGCCTGGCCTCTGGCTAGCAAGGAAACGCGTTAGCTGTAAAGGTAACCTGTGTGACGTGTGTGCTGGGAAGGGGCAGGGCGAAAACCTGCTCCAGTGGAAGGTGTCCCTGCCCATGGCAGGGGGGTGGAACTGAAGGAGCTTTGAGGTCCCTTCCAACCCAGGCCAGTCTGGGACTCAATACAGATGATAACAGCTTGTATTAGGTGAGTGCAGTGTGTCAGCCACACAGGTTTCCTTAATGCAGCTAACTGGTAACCTCAGAACAGCCATCAGGGAACGGTGTCTTTGTGAAGGAGAGAAGAGAAGCCACTCTCCTGCCCACCCATCACGTTTGTGAGTCAGCTCCAGCTTTAGGCTCTCTCAAAGCAAGCAAATCTCAGGCTGCATCTGGGAAGCTGCTGAGCCAGCACAGGCATGGGAAGAGCATAAAGGTAGGCTTGAAATGAAAGGAAAACAGACGATGGAAAGACAGCAGCTAATCCTCACGGGGAAACCTGATCCCCACGAAGCCAGGCATCCCTCGGGCTGCTCTGAGCAGCACCCACAGCACCACACACAACCCGCCCAGGCCACTGCAAGTGGAAGAGCACAACACAAAAGCTTCCTAATCCAGGAGCTGCAGAGCTCGAGCTCCAGCAGCACAAGCACTGCCTCCTGGGAGAGGGCAGCTGATAACATCTTGGTGCCTCTCACACCAAGTCCTACCAGTGCCCGAGGAGAACCCTCAGAGAGGCAGAACATGCAGGAAGGGATTAAAGAGACCGCAAGCTATGGGGCAGCTCTGGGCAGAGCTCATTGCTAAAGGGGTCTCCTTCCCTTCTGCACCCCTGTTGCACAGCCGAGCCCACAGAGCTCACGCAGAGCTGCTCACTTTGTTAGCCAGCAGCAGGCAGGGCACGGGGCTCCCATCGGGCAGCAGGAGCTTGCTGTCCAAGTCCTGCTTCCACTTCTGGCTGCTGCTGAACGTGCTGATGTTGGTGACGTCGAACATGATCACGCAGGCGGAGGCCTCCCTGTAGTAAAGCCGGGTCATGGACGTGAAGCGTTCCTGCCCTTGGGATGGAAAGGGAACAGAAGTGACCCCCCCGAGGCATCACTTCCAGGTTTGTTCATGCAAGGAACACGTTTATCCCAGAACGTCGCGTTCTCAGCTGGCACTAAACCTACACTTAAATACCGGGGAGATATTATGGGGGCACTGAGAGCGCTCGTGTCACACCTCATGGGTCAGGAGCATGCTGAGAAACAGCATTTCTGACAGCAGCATCCCACACTGGGTTGGGCTGGACCTTAAAGCTCCTCCAGCTCCAACCCCTGCCACGGGCAGGGACCCTTCCACTGGAGCAGCTTGCTCCAAGCCCCTGTGTCCAACCTGGCCTTGAGCACTGCCAGGGATGGGGCAGCCACAGCTTCTCTGGGCACCCTGTGCCAGCGCCTCAGCACCCTCACAGGGAAGAGCTTCTGCCTAAGAGCTCAGCTCAGTCTCCCCTCGGGCAGGTTCAAGCCATTCCCCTTGGCCTGTCCCTACATCCCTTGTCCCAAGCCCCTCTCCAGGTTTCCTGCAGCCCCTTCAGGCACTGGAGCTGCTCTCAGGTCTCCCCTTCAGGAGCCTTCTCTTCTCCAGGCTGCCCCAGCCCAGCTCTCTCAGCCTGGCTCCAGGGCAGAGCTGCCCCAGCCCTCGCAGCAGAGCCGAACAATCCCCTCCCTTGACCTCTTCTCCCTCAGCCTCGTGCTCTCCCTGGGGCTCCCATCCAGTCCTGTCTCTGCTCTGCACTTTGAGTCCCCTCGAGCCACCCGAGTGCCTCGGCACAGCTCAGGGGAGAGGAGCAGTGTGCAGGGACCATCGCTGTGGCCATCCCCTGCTGCTCAGGGCACCCCAAGAGCTCTGTGCCCCCCAGCTGCCCTTGTTTCCAAATGCCTTTTTGGGGCTGAAGCTGAACCCAGCTCCTTGCTGCAAACTTCTCCTTCCTCCTTGCTTTTTTAGGGACTCCAGAAGCATGCGGCCGGGCAGAGGAAACCGCAGCCCTGTGTTCCTCCCCCTCCACATCCAGAGCTGCTGCTTCAGAGTGGGTGCTCCTCGCTCTGCTTCACCGCATCCAGTGCTGCCTCCTGGAGCACCCCCTGCTCCCGACCCAGCCCCACGCCTCCCCTTGCCCTGGGTGCTCCCAAGGGATCCGCTGGCTCTGCTTGCACAGATCCGGATCCCAGCAGCTGGAGCAGTGCCTGGAGCTGCTCCACACAGGAATCAAGGCCAGGTTGGACACAGGGCTTGGAGCAAGCTGCTCCGGTGGAAGGGGTCCCTGCCCGTGGCAGGGGTTGGAGCTGGAAGAGCTTTGAGGTCCCTTCCAACCCAACCCATTCCATGATTCCCTGCCAGAAACAGGGATTTTAACACACCCTCGTGGCTGAGGTGTTAAAAACCCAGCTTCAAATGAGCCCGTTTCCCATGCACTTTGTTCTGGCTTTGACACAGGGAAGGAAAGGTGATGGATTGATCACCTGCGCTGCGGATGGGCTTTGACTGAGCACTGAAATTACCCCTGCAAACCAGAGCCCCTCGGAGCAGGGCAGCCCTGCCCCTGCAGGAGAATCCTGTTGGAGGGAGGGAAAGGAAAAGGGAACAGAAGAAGCCACTGAGAGCTTCGGGTACCTGCGATGTCCCAGAGCTGCAGCCGCACGGTCTCGGACTCCGACCACTGCACCACCTTCAGCGCGAAGTCCACTGCAGCAGCCGGGAAGAAAGGAAACCGCGTCAGGGGCTGCTCCTCTGCAGCCTCCCCCGTCCCCAGCACCGCAGGGACCTGGAGCTGTTGGAGCGAGTCAAGAGGAGGGCACGGGGATGCTGCGAGGACTGGAGCAGCTCTGCTCTGGAGCCAGGCTGAGAGAGCTGGGCTGGGGCAGCCTGGAGAAGAGAAGGCTCCTGAAGGGGAGACCTGAGAGCAGCTCCAGTGCCTGAAGGGGCTGCAGGAAACGTGGAGAGGGGCTTGGGACAAGGGATGTAGGGACAGGCCAAGGGGAATGGCTTTAACCTGCCCGAGGGGAGACTGAGCTGAGCTCTGGGGCAGGAGCTCTTCCCCGTGAACCGGACGAGCTTCGAGGTCAGGGTGAGGCGGGAGCCGCGCTGCGCTGGGTGCTGGGGGCACAGCCCGGGCCCCGAGCAAGGAACAACCGGTACCGGTACCGGCACCGCCCCCCCGGCCGCTCCTCCCGGTCCCGGCCCGGGCCCCACCTCCCACCGTGCTCTTGTAGTGCCGGCTGAAGCTGTCGCTCGCGAGCCGCCGCACGAGCGAGGTCTTGCCCACGGCCGCGTCCCCGACCACGAGCACCTTGAAGAGCCGGTCCCGAGGGCCCATCCCGCACCCGCACCGGCACCGGGGCCGCCGCGTCACGTGAAACGGTCACGTGACGGACAAGTGGACGCCAGCCTTAAAGCGGCGCTGCCGGGACCGGGCGCAGGAGCCGCGCCCCGCGCACCCCAACCCCAACCCAGCCCCACGGACTCCTGCACCCCCAACCCCAACCCCATGGACTCCTGCACCCCCAACCCCAGCCCCATGGACTCCTGCACCCCAACCCCAGCCCCATGGACTCCTGCACCCCCAACCCCAACCCCATGGACTCCTGCACCCCCAACCCCAACCCCATGGACTCCTGCACCCCCAACCCCAACCCCATGGACTCCTGCACCCCCAACCCCAGCCCCATGGACTCCTGCACCCCCAACCCCAACCCCATGGACTCCTGCACCCCCAACCCCAACCCCATGGACTCCTGCACCCCCAACCCCAACCCCATGGACTCCTGCACCCCCAACCCCAACCCCATGGACTCCTGCACCCCCAACCCCAGCCCCATGGACTCCTGCACCCCCAACCCCAGCCCCATGGGTTCACAGACTGAGCCCTGTTGGAAAAGGCCTTCAAGAGCATCAAGCTCCGTGCCTCCTGCATCCCCAAGCCTGTTCCTGTGTCCCCCTGGCTCCAGGCAGCTCTGAGCCCCACTGTTCCATGTGTGGGGCTGACCCACAGCAGCGAGGAACGGGAGCTGCCGAGGGCCCTGCATGGGGCAGGATTTATGCTGGGGGGGGGAAACAGCCCCAAACCTGCACTAGGGAGGACGGGGACCCTTCAACAGCCACCAACGAGGGGCTCAGGGTGCCCCTAAAGGGCTGCAGCAGCGGTTGATCCCTCACACCCATGGGCAGCACAGGACCCACGCAGGGAACCCCTGCGGCTCCCAGGGTCCCAGCAGGGGTAACCCCATAAGTTACCCACATCCCAGCGCTCCTCCTGCATACCAGGGCATTGGCTCATTCCAGTGCACGTCCAAAGAGCTCCGGTGTAAGCAAAGGATGCAAAACACGGAATGGGTTGGGTTAGGAAGGACCTTCAGTGATCCAGTTCCAGCCCCTGCCATGGACAGGGGCCCCTCACACCCCATAGAGACCTTTAACCAAGCGAAGGAGGCACCAGGGTCCGCATAAATAACCGTCCTCTTTATTTAACCAGAATCATTCACCAGGGAAGGCGACAGCTCGCACGGGAACTATAAATAACCAAAGTCTTTGTGCCTTGAGCGGGAAGAGGAACCCGGCGTGGGCAGCGCAGGGCTGGCGAGCAGGCAGCAGGAGTGCAGCGGGGGAAAGGGCTCTCCCCATCCACGGGCAGCTTCCAATCGCGTCCCCCCCAGCGATGCTCTGAGCCCCCTCCGGCCGCAGGAGACCACGAGCGGTGGGTTCTTGGCCTGGGGAGCTCGCAGCACTGCGACACCCAAGGGACCCGCAGAGGTGGTCGCGGAGGGAACCCTCTGCTCCTCAGCACTGGGCAGAGAATGGGGGGGAGCAGCGGCTGCTGCAGGGGAACGGGGGGGTTGGTTTCTGGTCCGAGCAGAGCTGGGGCCAAAGGAGAGCTGAGAGCAGTCGGCACCGGAGCATGGTGTGATCACGGGGAGGGGAGAGGAGAGCAAACGCTACGGGGCACGGGGAAGGGGAAAGCATCCCCAGAGCATCAGAGGCTACGAGGATCCCATCTCTGCCCCCAGAGCACAGCAGCAGCAGCAGCAGCACCCGCTTACACCCAGCGGCAACAGGAAAGGATCCTTTACAGCCTGAGAGGGGAGCAGGCACGAGCCCGGTTCTGTTTGAGCTCACCCAGTGCAACCCTTACCCCAGCACTGCCCAGGCCACCTCTGCCCCATGGCACTGAGGCCTCGTCTCCACAGTGTGTGAGCACTGCAGGGCCGGTGCCTGCAGCCCTGCCCTGGGCAGCCTGTTCCAATGCCTGAGCACCCTCTGGGGCAGGAAGGGTCCGGGGCAACAAGGAGGGCTCCAGCCCGGCCTGGCCCCATTCCAGGTCAGCATCAGCGTTCCCAGCACCGCACAGCCCCACTCTCCAAGCAGAGATGCCCAGCGCTGGGGGGACACAAAGCCAGGAAGAGACAAGCACTGGTTCATGAGAGACAGAAGTCAACCTAAGGGGAGATGAGGCCGAGCACGGGTGGGTTCTGCTGCGAGGAACACACTTAAAGCAAGGGGTGAAGCAGAGACCACATCCACAGCTTGCAAGTTCCACCCTGGAGCTGCACAGGAGGGTGGGCAGTGTCCAGGCCAGGAGCAGAGCTGCAGCACAGCCACCTATGCCCAGAGCTTGGCTGCCATTCCAGGACTGGGATGCAAGGTGCTGCAGCCATCCCCTAGCACTTGGGAAGATGCTGGCAGCTCCCAGGCTTCAGGCAGTGCAGCACGAACATCCCATCCCATGGGATAGCCTGCATTCTGCCCACCCCAGCAGCCGTGAGGAGCTTTCCCTACACACGCACTTGGGCATTCAAGTGGTACTCATGCCCTGGAGCCTCTTTACTCGCCCTGCTTGAGCACATCACTTCAACCTGGGCGCAATGGGTGAAGTTTCCAGCTGGTAAAACCTCCCTCCTATTTTCCATCCACGCCTCCAGGAAAGCTGCCATGAGCAGGGCTGTGCCCATGGGAGCACGAAGGAAAGCCGGGACGGGATCCAGAAGTGCTGCAGCAGAGCCCTGGCAGGCAGAGGGGACAAGGATGGATGGGGAGAGCTCGGCCTCTGCAGCCCCAGCGTGGCAGGGGCTGGAGCCAGCTCCCAGTGAGGGTGAGCAGAGAGCAGCTGCAGTCCTCAGGCCCAGAGCCCTCACTCCCCTGTGGGCACACAGCGAGGGGGGCTCCGGCACAGGGGACCCTTCCTCAGCATCCTCACGAACCCCTCGCCAGGGACTCGCGTGCTTTGGGTGCCAGGCACAGGAGGGGCATTTGGGAGGGAGGAGGGCAACAGGAGATGCGCAGCACCCTCAGCCATGCGCTCGCGCTGTGCTAGGAGGTGCCTGTGGAGTAAATCCAACCCCTTCCCTCCGGTATTTAACAGGCTTATGAAGGGAAAGCAGCAGCTTTTCACCTCCTGGGACTGGGGGGCTCCCTGCGTGACCCAACTGCCCAGGAGCCTCCCTGGAGCCTTGGGTCAGACCCAGCTAAGATGAAATGGCACTTGGTGATTGTCTCGGTACGCCTGGGGGTTCGGCCTTCCTAAAACTAGATTTATTTTCTGTACAAACTTGGCTTGAAATAGAAACCACATAAAATTCCCATTGAAAATAATGAGAATCCAGTATCAAAGAGAAGTCTCGAGAGAGACGAGGGCTGGGGGGAGGAAGCAAAGAGCAAGGGGGAAGGAAAAAGAATGACAACAACAGAAGGAGAGGAGGAGGAGAGCTGGGAGAGGGGGGAATCAGTCTCCCACATCAGAGTCCCGGTCACCAATGAGCCAGAGGACGTGAAAGCTGAGAGCAAGGAGCCCTGTTCCAATGAGGTCCCCCAGCGCAGTCAAGTATGGGATGGAGAAGTTGTCCGGATCGAGGTCCCTGCCCCACATCCAGTGCACCATCCAGTCAGCAATGTAGAGGAGAATAAGAACCTGGGGGCAGGAAGAAAAGAGCCACATCAGCCACAGATCCCGACCTCTGCAACCCCGGGATTCATGGGGGCAGCTCAGAGACACAACCTCATCCCGAGGGATCAGAGCTGCTCAGAACCACCTTGCTCCCCAGAGCTCATCTCAGTCTCCCCTCGGGCAGGTTAAAGCCATTCCCCTTGGCCTGTCCCTACATCCCTTGTCCCAAGCCCCTCTCCAGGTTCCCTGCAGCCCCTTCAGGCACTGGAGCTGCTCTCAGGTCTCCCCTTCAGGAGCCTTCTCTTCTCCAGGCTGCCCCAGCCCCGCTCTCTCAGCCTGGCTCCAGGGCAGAGCTGCTCTTTCCCAGCCTCTGCCCTATCCCTCTTTAGCTTCACACCACCATCAAATTTAGGCTTAAAAGGGAGAACACTGGAACTCAAACACGAGATAAGCCTAAGTTTTGCCCCTCTGTTTTCAGCTCTAACCAGAATAAGCTTAAAGAGATTTGGGCAAAGAGGGGACTCAGAAGCACAGGAAATATTTAATCCAGAAATAAAAGAGCAGCTTCCCAGCAGCCGGAACCGCCGGGAGGGATGCTCCTCCCCATCAGTGCCATGAGGCTGTACTGGTACCTAAAGACAGAAGAAACCTGCAGTGGATCCTCTCAAGTCTTAGCTCTGCCTCTGACGGATGCTCTGAGTCACCTCCTCACGCTGCCTTGGGCTGTTGTGAGGGGGCACTGGAACCAGGCACAGCTCCCATGAGTGGAGCTGGCTTTGGGAGAAGCCCCAACCAGGGCACCCTTCCTGCCCTCCAGCACAGGCCCCCAGGCTCCTGCAGGAGCTGCACTGCGGATGGGGCTGGATGAGCCCCACAAGACACAGGGGTCCCTGCTCATTCCACAGCCTGATTTCCTCAGCAGCAGGTTTAAACTTGCTAAAGCACCACAGAGGATAGATCACCTCGTGCGTGTTAAACACTTGTGCTAGCAGAAGGGCTTTAAAGAGACAAAAGAGAGATTCCAAACTTGCCAAGAATGACAGGAAGGAAGAACTGTGTGTACAGCTATCAACAAAGCAGCATTTATTCAGGTCGATACCAGCTTATTTGATAAACAGAACCTCCCTAGCATGTGGATCACTTACCTGGGGACAGGGTTTGTGGCTGTGCCTTCGGGAGCGCAGCTACCACTGAGGGACGTGGCAGTGTGCCCTTGTGCCAGCTTACCTGGAGAAGTGCTGCTGTCATGTAGAAGACGATGAAGATGAGGGTGAGCGTCGTGTGCCCTCCTTGCATGGAGCTGATGGTGTAAAGGAAAACCAAGTGTCCAGGCACCACCAGGAGAAAGAGCACACGAGCAGAGCGAGAGTTCACATCTGCAAGGGAACAAAGATGGGTTCAGGCTTGAGCACAACTCTGCAGCCCCCCCCGGCTCCGGGGGACG